CAAATGTGCAGGTACATGTGTGTGAAGGTATGTACACATGTGTGTGCAGGTTTGCATATATATTCATGCATGTGTATGTATTGATTTATAAGAATAGAGGAGGGTAGCATATGTGTGTAGAGGCCAGAGAATAACCTCAGGCACTTTCCACTTTTATTTTTAAACAGGATCTCTCACTGGCCTGGAACTTGTGGAGTAAGTTAGGCTGGGGCCAGTGAACCCCAACCCACCTTTCCAGCATTGGGATTCCAAGCACATGGCTGAAATTGTTTTATGTGGTTTCTGGGGATTGAACCGAGGTCCTCATGCTTGTAAGGCAAGCACTTTGCTAGCTGAGCTATCTCCCTGGCCCTTTTTAGTTATTTTGAGACAGACTTTCTATGTAGTACAGTTGACTTTGAAGTATTATCTCCCTGCCCCGCTCTCCTGTGTGCTGGGACACAGACCTGTGTCACCACTCTTGGTGCAAGACTATGCTTTCAGAAGGAAAGACGTATGGGGCGAAGGGTGTAGCTCAGTGCACATGGGGCCCTAGCTTTCACCCTCAGCAGTGAAACACAAAAGTACAGAAGGGTGTAGCTCAGTGCACATGGGGCCCTAGCTTTCAACCTCAGCAGCGAAACACAAAAAGTACAACACGCAATCCACATGAATCAAAGTCATAAACTTGACTCTTTTTGTAGGTAGACTTTGCAATCCTAGGCGTCAGCTCATTTAATTTGTGTTTGTCTACCTTGATGGAAAATATGAAAACCTGTGATCAGAGTGCCTGAAGTGGACGGTGCTGTGACAAGTTCAGTGTGATCATTTCCCCCTTTTCTGCACACCAACCTCCCTGTCTATGGTCTGTTATGGATGGTTCGCTTAGACCATCTGGGTTGAAAGGGAGAGAGACAAGACAGACCCCAGTTGGGAGACAGCCTCTGTAGTCATGTCACAAACAAGAACACGTTTTCACAAGCTCCACCAACAGGAATTCTCCAGCCTCCCTCTGTAATTCAGTCCTAATGTTGAGCAACCTTCAGCATCAAGAAACTCTGCCATAAATAACCCCAATCCTTCACGCAGCTTAAACCCATTTCCTCCTGCTCTTGGCTCACTGGAGATGGGGAACAGCTGGTCACCAAGCTCTTTGTCACTGGCTGATTGGCTCCTGGCTCTGGACCACTGTCATAATGAGGAGTCTGACTGGTTCCATATTCTGCTGTCTGCACAAGCATGTAAACCAGGGAGATAAAACATGCTGCATGCTGAGCTTCAGAGACACGCCATCAGGGGAGCCTCAGCCCTCGTCATGTCACCAGGCTGTTCACAGTCTATAAAATTTCGAGTGTGAGACTCCCGCACAGAAAACATCATGTTTCTCTGAGGCTTGTTCCACGCTGAGAACATAACACCAGATAATGGAGGGTCTCCTGATGGTAGCAATGTACACAGCATGGAGTGGGCATTTATTAAGTGCTTTCTGTATGCCCATCATCTGCATTATCTCCCACAGTCTTCATAACGCCATACTATGAATGAGGACTAATCCTACTTTGTGGGAGAGGGAAGTTTACTCCAAGAGGCTAGCCTGTCTGTGTTTATATGCTACCAAGTGAGACAGCAAGCATTACAACCCAGACCAGAGACCTGTGGTCTCCTTACCATTCCTCATCCAGCACAAGAACCAGGTGTTGGTAAATGTCACAGGGCTTGCAGCATGATAGAAATGGAGTCATTTGTTTCATCAACCTGAGTTGGTCAGGAGAAACCAAGAAGTTATAGGGGGCGTGAAATGTGGTGCTCCTCACACAGAACAAAAATAAAATTCAAAAGGACTGTGCTGGATTCTTTCCATATAAAATCCATCAGGAGACCCCAGTCTTGCTTAGAAGGAGATGCTAAATGATTCCCAATTTTTCAGCTCTGTGAGGAATTCCTGAGCATATGTTTCACAGGCATAAATCAAAAGTTAGGTGTGGCCAGACACCAACTGGTCATTTTGGATGCTGTTCTGCCTCAGTGTCCTGGCAGTGAGAGTTGTTATTCATGGTGTTAGAGGTATATTCTCTCCCGTTTGCTTGCTTTTGTCCAGTTATAACTGAGTTTCCTTGCTACACATATTTCTACCTGTCACTGGACTAGAATGAGTCCCTTAACAACAGGAGACTATTCTGAGAAACATATTGTTAGTCAAGTTTGTCACCCCATAAGTGACATAGAGTGTACTGGAAGGTTCAGGTCAACCACTTGACATTATCTCCAGAAGTCATCAAGACACTCAGTAAACAGGGAGTTGGAGAGATGACACAGTGGTTACCAGAACTTGCTGTATGAGCGTGAAGACCTCAGTGCCCACATAAACTTAGCATGGCTGCATATGCCTATAACCAAAACACAGTGCAGGGCAGAGATAGAAGGATGCTTGGGCTGGCCGGCCCCTAGTCCAGCTACAAGTTCAGTGAGAGGCTCTGTCTGAAAGTGATAAGATGGTGAGTAATAGAATGGAATGCTGGGTGTCTTCCTGTGACTTCAGCATGTGCTTATGCACAGGCCTCTACTTATATACACACATACACTCTATCCTCGCACATTTGGTAAGCCTGAGGCACACACAGATGAGTTAATGTAACATCACGTACTGTACTTCAGCCAACTTGTGTTGTGTGTGTGTGTGTGTGTGTGTGTGTTGTGTGTGTGTGTGTGTGTGTGTGTGTGTGTGTGACAGGTTCTTGAGATGCAGCCCTGGCTAACCTGGAACTCACTACTTAGACCAGGCTGGCCTTGAACTCACAGAGATCTACCTCTGGAGTGCTGGGATTAAAGGCACGGGCCACCACATCTGGCAAAGATTTTCTTTCATTTTTAATTATGTGTGTATCTGACATGGGGAGGTGTACTTGAACACAGGTAGCTACAGAGGCCTGAAGAGGGTGTCAGATTCCTTGGACCTGGAGTTACAGGCAGTTGTGAACCACCTGGCACAGGTGCTGGCAACTGAACCCAGATCTTCTGCAATAGTAAATGCTCTTAACTACTGAGCCATCTCTCCAGCTTCCATAGTCAACATTGTAATAAAGAGACAAGTAAACATTAAAAATAATGATTAAAACAATAAAGTGTAATAAGGCATGATGGTCCAGTCCCATAATCCTAGCACTGAGGATACTGAGCTAGAGGATGGCCAACCTGAAGTACATAAGCAAGAGTTCTATCGCAAGACAGATCGTAGTAAACGCATAACCATTACAATGTCAGTTATTACCCTTGTCAAGCATTATGTCCTCCCTACAGTGGTCACATTGTACTCTTATGTGAGCAGTGAGCTCATTCACAAGCACTATTGCAAATACCAGGGATGCGTGACAATGGCCGCTAAGACAGCTACAAGATCTCTAGGTGGCGGGGATTTCTCAGCACCATCGTAAGTTTATGAAACCACTATTATCTATGTCATCTTCTGCAGACGATCAAAACAAATTCACTAGTCTATAAGCACAACAGCAAAGGGAGGTTGCCTGCCATATTTACTGCTGTATGCTGTATGCCCAGCTCAGCATCTGATATGTGGTGAGCACTCAATGAGCATCTGTTCTCATTGGGGGGCATTAGACTGAAGCACCTGTGTGGAGCACAGTAAAGAATCGTGTTGCCCACTTCTCGTGGCGTTTTCGCCCCCCAGCCACCTGTTACTTAACTTTGCCTCGTGGGTCTTATTTGCCAAACTGAGTTCCTGTAGAGTTAGGCCACAGCTACTTCGATCCCCTTTCTTGAACATTGAGGCTCCAGCTTGTACAGTCACACCTCATGAGTGTCCCAGCGGCTCAGCGTAGCACAAAGACACTATTAAATGCTTACTGGATACAACCCACCTCCTTTTGACTTGCTAGCAGGACTCAAACTGAAACCATAACTCAGGAGATGTGCTGAGTCAATACCGCACAATATGCCTTTACTTTCCCATATTCCCTTGGAAGGATGGGATCCAGGGACCATGTGACTCAGTCCTGTCAATGAGAAGCAGGAAGGAGAGCGCTCATTTGGTTATGCTTTTAGTTTCATTTATGAAAAGCATATAGACACCAGGTGTGGCAGTGAACTTCTATATCCCAGCAGTCAAGAAGCTGAGATGAGAGTGTCATGAGTTTAAGGCCAGCCAGGGTGATACAGCAAGAGCCTGCTAGCAAAAATAATAAAGACTAACTGAACACAAAAGAGAGAGATGCAGAGAGGGCTTTTCATCTGTCACTATATCTTCTTCCAAACCTGATCATAGTTCTGGTGTCTGAGCAACAAAACCTGACTTAGTATCACGAGACAGCTCATCTTAGTCTGGAGGAGCTGAAAAAGCAAACAGTCTGAGTCTTCGGTGACTTTGTGGAAGAGGGGGACAAACCTCAGCACTCACCAATCTCCAGACTTCTTGTCATTGAATAGGGAAAAGTTCAAGCAACTTTTAACATTGCTTACTTCACCCAGAGCCAAATTTCTTAACTGATCTGAGTTTAAAATCTTCCTTCACAACCTTTCCCACCAACATTCTCATTTACATCAACATCATCATCATGTCCCACATACTGAGTGATTAATATTTCAGTATGAAGAACAGTTAAGATATCCATTGGTAAGTCTTGCCATATAGGGTTCACTTTAAAGGACAGAGCAGACTTTAAGTGAATGACAAGATAAAGTGTGATAAATAGTGGACTGGAAGTATGATATTATATATAGTCATCTTGTTAGTTACTTTTCTTGTCAATTTAACAAAATAGGAACAGAAACAGTACTTGAAGAGGATATTGTTTACTTTGTTCATAGTTGGGGAGATTTGGTCCATGGTGGCATGGCCCTAGGCGCCAGGGCAGAAAATGATGACAGCAGTAGCTGTGAAAGGGAACAGTCATTCACATCACAGTAGACAAGAAGCAGCACACAGAATGCTGGTGTTCTATGGGCTTCTACTTTCCCCCTTTGTGTTCTGTCTGGGTTCCAAGCCCATAGATCAGCTCCATATCAAAGGTGGGGGATCTTCCTGGCTCTGTTAGTCTTCTCCAGACACATCCTCGTAGACACACCAAAAGTTGCACATCATCATTTTCCTAAGTGAGTCCAAACCCAGCCATGAAAATGAACCACCAGTTTATCAGTGTATTAGAAATGAGTATTTATTTATGTGGAACAAAGTTCAACACATGCTAATTAAAAACAGGGTTGGAAACTATTTTTGTTAATGAATCTAGCATACCCATCTTTGACTAGACACTTTTCTGCTCTTCCTCTCCCCTTGTGTATTGACTAGTGTGATGTCAGCTTGACCCAGATTAGTCACCAAAGAAAAGAAAGCCTCGAAGGAGAAAAAGCCTCCATAAAACACGGCGCTAAGGTATTTTCTTAATTAGTGATCAATGGGGAAAGTCCAAGACCATTGTGGGTGGGGCCACCCTAAGAAAACAGACTGAGCAAGCCATGCTAAGCAAGTCAGTAAGCAGTGCCCCTCGATGGCCTCTGCATCATCTCCCGCCTTCAGGTTCCTGGCCTGCTGAGTTCCTGTCTTGATTTCCCTTGATGAAGAACTATGATATGGAAACACTAGCTGAATAAACTCCCCCCTCCACTTGCTTTGGCTATGGTGTTTCATCATAGCAATAGTAACCCTAACAAAGGCACCTTGTCAATTTTGTCTTTTTGATGTCCCTTCCACATGGCATGCTTCTTCCCACAGCTGCTCCTTCACTGTGTAGCTCTCTACGTCTGGTATAGTTTCTCCAACTTCCTGGCTTACTAAACTATTTACATTCCATAGAACCCACCACTCATCTTGTCCCATAAGACTTGCCCAGAATGGAGGTCCTAGCTAGTGCATCAATGAGGCAGGTGATCAGTCCATCTAGGTGGCCAGTGGGAAGATTTTGAGGGGACAAAGTTCAAGGCTTCAAATTCTACAGAGGTGTTGCAGAACAACAGCACAAAAGCCCTCCATACTCATCAGTAGTTCAACAACAGTGGCTTTGTGGGACTTAGTCATACTACAGAAACTACAAGTCTCTACCATAGAGATAACCACTTGACCATTAGATGGGGGCACCTTAGCATTTGGTGTAGCAAGGGGCTTCTGGTCTTGGAATTCTGTTTTCTTCAGAGTTTTCTAGACCAAAAGTAAGTAAAATGCCTACCCAGGCCATGCAAGTGATGCAGATCAACAGTGCCATTTCCGAAGGAAGAGAAGAGTGAGTGGTGGGGACTGTGAGCATGCCATGCAGCAAGCAGGCCGCTGCAATTGCAAACAAGCCTCCTGCACTGCTGCAGAATAAGCCAGTACCATAACAGTGTATGCTTCCTTAAAAGAGAGGACGAGGAACAAGAGGAAGAGGAAGGGAGGAGAACAAGGAGGAGGAGGAATGGGAATAGGAGGAGGAATTGAGGAGGCAGCAGTAGCAGCAGCCGCCAAGAAATCTAACAAGGTCCCACTACGAAACCCGCATGTGAGTAAAGTATGTCTGTGGTCAACTTTTGATCCACCAGACCTAGGCTTGTGGACCCTGTTCTGTGGCTTAAGGGGGGGTCACCTCATACGAGTTAGACTCTTCATAGCGCCCCCACAAATGCAATGTTCATGTCCCAAGTAAGACAATCCAGGGTGACCTCTTTCTCAGAAGTACAAAGTTCAGAATCTGGAAGGATCCTCCTTTCTGGTCACTGAACAGTTAATTCTTTTCTGGGTGAAAGTTTTGGCCAGAATTAACAGGAGCAGGGTGCCCGCATGCTTGAAGCTTTATCTGATTATTCATGCTCACAATTCCTTTTCCCTCTTTAAAATTCTCTTAACTTACCATATTCAAATCCTAAGCATGAAATGTATATGTCATATACTGTAAAAAGAAGAAAATCTCCAAGGACTTTTTCCTCCTACAAAGTCCACATTTATTGTTTTCTTTCCTATACCCAAGCCTTTCAGCTGTACCTAATTCTATGTTTGGTAAGCTCTAAACCCTCTAAACATTTCCATCAGGAGGCTTTGCATCAGCTTCTTCCAAAATGTTAGTTTAATGTTTTCCTGTGGGAGTCAAGGAATCTAGGCAAGGAAATTCTGGTTCAGTTGTATTCTGATGATCCTTGAGAAATAATTTGTCCTTTTCACCCTTGTACTTATAGGCATTCTGGATGGATGGAGTGGGGGTGTGATTAAGAGCCATGAGTGATAGAACCCCATGGGCTCAGGTTCTAATCCAGGGTCTGGCACATTCTAGGCACCTTACAAATGTTGGTTGAATATTTGCGGACTATTTCAAATTGAGATGTCCTCTAAATCACTGTTTCTCAACCTGTGGGTCCAGAACCCCAGAGGGATCGACTCTCAGATATCCTATATATCAGATATTTGCATTACATCTCATAACAATAGCAAGATTTCAGTTATGAAATAGCAATGGAATAATTTTATGGTTGGTGGGAATTACAGTGTCAGTAAGTTTGAGAACTGCTCTAAAACATACTTTCCATAGCATGATGCATTCAGATGAGAGGAAGCTTGACCGCTGGAAATGCTTTTATGGAAATATTGAGTGATACAGACCACTTGAAGAAAGTGCAAAATTCCTGCTACAGGGACCTTAGCTGTATGTTAAGACATGTGACCTATCAGGGTCCACTCTTCGGAGATGGTTAAATAAAAGGAGATTTGGACTATCTTATGTAACGTATGCCCTCTCATTTCCTCCCACCCATATTCCACAAGAAATGAAATGAGATGTATTCCAGAAAAGACCATGTCTCAAAAGACATGTTGGCAAATGTCCTAAGAAACAACACCTGAAGTTAATCTCTACACATAAACACACACACACACACACACACACACACACACACAAAACCCTCTGATTTTTCTGTGCATAAGAAAACTGTAAAAGAAAGGGGTAACGAGAAGGAAGAAATATTTAAAATATAGCATTATTTTAAAAGCACATTAAAAATATACCTATCGCCTATAAGCATTATAACTATCCATTGTGTAATGAAAAAAACTGAATGAATTCCAAATGTAGAAGCTTCATTCAAGAGCAGAAGGTACATTTTAACTATTCTTTTTATAAATTAAAAGGGAATGGAAGTACAATTTACTAGGTAAAAAAACAATCATAATTCATGGCAGTATCTCTTATTAAATAAGCCCTCCCCCAAGGAAAAAAATCTAAATAAAAAACATATCAAGAATAAATATTTGTAGTGAGATGTTAACCCACTTCCTTAAAGTCAAGAACAGGACAATTGTGTTTGCTATTGCTATTGTTCCGTGTGAGTCTAGGGGCTGTCACCTATGCAAAAAAAGAAAGAAAAAGAGGGAGGGAACAAGAAGGGAAGAAAGATGAGACATGAGAAGAGTAAGGAAGAACAGAGTTTGAAAGATATAGGAATTGGAAAGGAAGAAAAATGAGGTTTTCATATTTCTGGATTTCATAGCAAGTTCATAGAAATAAGAGGTAATTTATTTAGTTAAACAAGGTGTCAAAGTCAAGACTCAGGGTTCAGTTGCATTGCTACACATCAGCAGAAGATAGCAAATGCAGTGGCAAGGATATTGTTTCAGCAGTAACAGAAATATGGTATCTAGGGAAAAATACCAAGATTTATAGGAAAATATTAAGATTCTACTTATGGGTATTAAGAGTCCTGTTAAGTTTGGGAATCAGAAGAGTCCCCACCATAAGGAAGTCAACTGTCCTTAAATTAACCCATAGTGTTAATGCAATTCCAATTAAAATTACATAGAAATACTACTTATAAATTATTTTATATTTAAAAAATGAAAACTATCTTGGATGGTGGTGACACACGTCTTTAATCACAGCACTCAGGAGGCAGAGGCAGCAGGATCTATATGAGTTCGAGACCAGCCTGGTCTACAAGAGCTAGTTCCAGGACAGACTTCAAAGCTACACAAAGAAACCCTGACTCAAACATCCCCCCCCAAAAAAAAAGAAAGAGAGAAAGAAAGAAAGAGAAAATATACTCATATGACTGAATTGGCTAAAACTGACTTTTCAAGTTTTTAGGAAGAAAAATATCCATTCAAGTTTTTTTTTGATAGTAATATTTTAAAACAAAAGAGCTAATTAAGAACATTGGACAATGACAATGTGATGTGATACTTCCAAACTGACTCCTTTGCCAACCTTTTTTCACTGTCACCAGACAAGAGAGACAAAGATCAAATAGAAAACATGTGTCAGACATGGCTGTGGGTGACCAAATAGCTAAAGTGGGCCCCACCACTATAAAAAGGAACTCCCTAAAGCAACTATAAAAAGGAACTCCCTAAAGCAACTATAGAAAGGAAATAACAACAACAACAATGAAAATACATGCCAAAAACTTACTGGAGGGCAGCGGGAGTATTACAACATCTGCTTTTTAAAAAGCTGTTTCTGAGCTCTCTAAGAACTTTTTTTGCTTAGAGAGATCCTTTCTGACACCAGAATCCTTCAGTGCAATCACAGGGACTGAGGAATACTCTCCCTCAAGGTTAGGGTCATGACCACAGCTGATATTCGGGACTTTGTTGCAAAGATGTTGCATTAGTTACTTTTCGGTTGCTGTGATAAAATAGCATGACCATGGCAACTAATAAAAAGTTGACTTTGGTTTATGAGGTGGAAGGTGAGGAGTCCAGGGCTGTCTTCTGACCTTCACATGTACGCTGCAGCACACGCGCGCGCGCACACACACACACACACACACACATCATGTACCCATATACACAATGTATGTGCAAATAAAAATAAAATATGAAACAAAAAATGTAAGACATGGAAAAATCTAGAGAAGGAAACAACAGCTTTATAACCTGTACTCAAAGAGAAACACTGGTAACATCTAGTTCAGTATTTCTGACCCCTTAATATTTTATATGTAAACACATATTTACACAGGTTTTGATATTTGGGTCATATTATAATCTCCTCATTTCCTTCTTCCCTTTGCTGACTTGTTCCCCTTCTCCCTTTTAAGTCCTTGGTCTTCATTCTACTTGAGTGTTATATACATGTATTTATAGACCTACTATTTAAAATCTAGAATCTGCATATGGTGGAAAGCTTGCCATGTTTGTCTTTCTGAGTCTACTTCATTTTTCACACCATGACAATCTCCAGCTCCCTCCATTTTCCTGAAAAATGGCATCAATTCATTTTTATAGTTGAATAAAACTCGTGTGTGTGTGTGTGTGTGTGTGTGTGTGTGTATTCACATTTTCTTTATCCATTAATCTGTTGGTGGCCCTCTTAGTTGGGTCCATACCTCGGCTATTGTGAGTGGTCCTGCAGTAAACATGGATATGTCTAGTAACCATGTAAAGTATTATTTTGGTATGCTATGGTACAATGACTTGGGGGTACACATCCACCAGTGCTCCCTCTGGATTATAAGGTAGGTTCTATTTTTAAATTTTAGGTGTCCCCACACTCCTTTCCACAGTGACTGAGTCAGTTTACATTCCCACTAACAGTATGTGAGTACTCACTCCTTTTTCCTTTCCATCCTTGTTAGTGTTTACTGGTATTTCTTTTTTTGAATGACTGTCACTCTGCCCCAGGGTAAGGTGGAATTCCTGTGTTGTTTTGATTTGCAGTCCCCTGTAGGCTAAGAATGTTGAACTATTTTCTCAAATATTTACTGACTTTTGCATTTCCTATTTTGAGAACTGTTTGTTCAGTTC